TCTATCTATCTATCTATCTATCTAAAAACGATGTACCACTGACATCAAGGTTACTGTTATTCTCAAACTTTTCAGTATCCTTGAGTGGGTGTTAGATATACAATGAATTTGAGATCTCTTGGAAGCTCCATTTTTAGCTCCTGTTTTAATACACTTGTCAAGGACTTTTGCGCACTGCAAAGACGTTTTAATCGTCAGTATCAGGACACTCCTTTAAAGCTGCCTTAATTTATAGGCCAATGTGTAATCTACACGATTAAAGCAAAATCAAGACAATGGAAAGTGTGATTCCTTTATAGTGCCGAAATTATCTGCCTTGTTTCAGTGTCAATATTTCATGTCACGTCGTTTTATTTTTATTAAAGTTGTCGATCCATATCTGTATTTCAGTCCGAAGTGTGCCAAGGACGCTCAATTTTGAAGATACTCTGAAAATTGACCAGTGGATTTTTTCTTACGTGTCTGTTTCGAAAATTAAAGTTTACAATTATCTCAAAGACTGAATGAGAAAGATATAGGAGAGAGGATGTTTCAAATTCAGTAAGATCTTTTGTCAGTCTTTTGTCAGTCAGACCACTGGGGCCTCCAAAACTAATTTATGACGCAAAAAAGATACTTAAAAACACTTTTGCGATTCCTTGGAATATATAATCAACAGACTCCTTATTTTTTTTTTTGTATATATTTACTTATAAACGAGATAGTAGTCTACAGCAGCTAAACGCGTTTAATTTCCAAGATGACGAATTTTAGCCCCTGGCCATTTTTGATGCTGTTGTCGTTTTCTATAATTATTAACTCAACGCAATCTAAAAGTGATTTCCATGTATATCACTTTTCACTCTTGCGTAGGAGTATTATTAAGAAGTCTACTGTGGAGCCATACCCTGTCTGTGGGTAATTTTCACATTGATAAGATTGGCAGATGATCACCATCTTTCACCTCCCTTCTGTTCGTATGTTTTCAACATATCTTTGAGAGGGTACTAATTTTAAATTTTGATTCTGATTTTGATTCAACCTAGTTAATTAATCAAAACCCCTGATTTATCAAAACTAAAACGTAGCAAACAAAATCGAAAACGGTTCATTTGAAAAAATACACTTACTAATTGTATTTGCACTTTTCTTGACCAATCGCATGGCAGCAAAACATAAAATTGATCGGCATGAAGCCTGACAAAGCTGCTTTCTCAGCCGACAAGTTTAAATACACCTGCAAACATCTGGGATTGCACTTTTCCACCTATAAAAAGCTGCAAAGATCCATTTTCTCAATTCATATACAAGGCAGTAAACTATGGCGAACTCCTCTTGCCATATACAACGAACGAATGATACTCGATCAAATTGCGAAGCAACTGAAAATCCGATGTATTCCATTCTTGTCATTAATATCGCCTTCAGCGCTTTTCTTTGTTATTCAACTACAATGATGAATGTCGTGACGATTTACGCTTTGATGAAAACGTCCTTGCTATCGAAACCTTTGAAAACACTGCTTTTTAGTCTGGCGGTTTCAGACCTCGGTGTTGGTTTTCTAGGTTTTCCTTTCCAGATCGCTCATTTTGTGGGCCAGATAAGATGCAAGATTCCAAATGGTGACACTAACTTCGCTTTTAGAATCAATGATGCTGTTGTAAGCACACTTTTTATGTGCTCTTTGTCCACCATCGTGGCGATAAGTGTTGATCGATTCATCGCCATCGAGATGCCACTGCGATACGATACTATAATGACTCACAAGCGAATTATTGGAGCCATCACGGTTATCTGGATAGTGAGTGCGACTTTTTCCATTCTTTGCTATATGTTCGAAGCCATTCCAGTTTTTTCGGCCTTCGTCTTTTTAGTAATTATAGATTCAGTCTCTTTTCTAGTCACGACAGCATCTTCCTGTAAGATATATATAACTCTTAGACGACACAAGAAGAAAATGGAGAACGGAAGACATCAATTTCAACAAAGCGCTGAAAATAAAGTTTCAAGATCTGGAAGCGGGAAGTCTTCAACTGGCACCCTGCTGATTTATCTTTTCTTTTGGGTTTGCTACCTGCCTCATTTAGTCATCTCAATTGTTCATGAAATATATGGAAAGCCAAATACAGTTATTGAAGGTATGTTTACCTTTTCATGGACGCTGGTGTTTTTCAATTCTTCCATTAATCCCGTCATTTTTTGTTGGAAAATGACTCCAATTCGACGCACTATACTCAATATCCTTCGAAATACGTTTTTAAAAAAATCACCCGCCTGAAAGCGTATATACTGTTCATTGGCTAATTGAGGTTTGTAGACAAAACTTTCAACTGACTTTTAAACAATATCAATATAACTTATAATTTTGAATAGCTCA